CCTGGAGCAAGATGCTGAAATTTAACCGAGAATATCTTTAACTCTTATCAAATAAATATGTACAGCCACTTAGTTATTATTTCAGGCACCATAAATTTGTGCCAGCAGTCTTGGAGGTGAGCGTGCAGTATTATTCCAAAGTGCTGCATTGTGTCCACCCCTAATTAAAGTTAGTATTGTGTAATGTTATTAGCATGGGAACATAGGTCTTAATCATATTGGCCACTGCAAGGGAAAGCGTTAAAAACTTGGTTTAGTGAAAGACTAGAATAGCTACAGGCTACTAGAATATCTATGACGTCTGTTGTGTAAGTTCTCTTCCTGCTGCCACTGTTATATGTACTTCTCCACCTGACCTTTCTCACCTCCTCTGCTGAACGCACTGACTCACGCCTCTGATACTTACCCAAGTGTAACGATCCTGGATGTGTTGGTCAAGAAAGATTGTTTAAAATGGGTGTGAGGTGTGAGATAAATCACAGCCAAGTCCAACCATGACCTCGCCAGATGTCCACACAATCTGATACATAGGAGAGACTGATTGAGTAAATGATAATTACATACCAGACCCGGCTGCTCAACCTAACAATACACTTCATTTGGACACCAGTTCTTCTTAAAAACTGCAGAAAACCGGTTTCCAATTTAACACTAAATGCAAGAATTTTCTACAACCTTAAATTTTAAGATAAAGGGTCTCACCATCTAAGACTAATATCATTTGGGGCTTCGGGTACCTAATCTGATGCTAGTATTTATTGGAAAAATAAAATAATGTTACACTTGGGTTGTAACTTCATGTAAACATTGTGTCTTCTACACGCACCGACTAAAATTCACAGCAGCGGCTACAGAGGGTGCTACAAGCCTTCAGCCATTTCTCTTGCTCCACAAAAGGATACTGAATTATTTTTTTATGAGATAAAATATACCTCAATCTAATCCTGTTATAGGTGAATCATTTAACTCAAAGCTACAATATTAACTGATTAATAATTCGGTCACTCATTCCACGACTGTTTGTGGGACGTCCCCTGTGCACAATTGACTGCGACGTTTCTCCCACAAAACGCACAGTCACTACACTTTACAGTATATTCTGTGAAGTGCTTTGAGACGTCTCGAAGTCGTGCTAAGGCACTATATCAAATGCTAGGATTATTATTATTATTATTATTATTATGTTACAGGGCTTTAGAGTTTAAACAAATTAGTGTTTCAAAATGTATTCTGTTCAAACAGGAAATACCGTTTCTGATTTTTTTAAAATTAAGAAACATTATTCACTGCAGGAAAAAAAACACCGAAACTGAGCAGGTTTGTGACGGACTTGTCCTGTGCCACTGCTGGTGTTGGTGGAGATTTCCTGTGGACATTGAAACTTCTGCCGACATCAACCGCAGACATTTAACTTCATTGTTTTGTGTTGTTTCAATGACCGGCTCTATCTCCCGTGTTTAATGCGTGTCATTTTATTGCCTAATTTACAAAGAATTCCAAATTAAGAATCAAAAATAAAGTTGTTATGTGTAATGAATTATCAAACAATATGCTTCATCGGACAATAACACCTGAGATTGAATGGAAAATTAACTCTATAACTAAATATTGCAATTTTCTGCAGATAACAACTGTAATCCTCACTCCCCCTCAACCCCTCTCTTCCTATTCTCAGGTCTCTGCTGAAGACCTTTCTCTTCGACCGCACCTTTGGTCACTTTCCTCCCCCCCTCTCCCCCCCCTCCCCCGCAGCTCCTCCCCCTCCCCTCCCGGCTCCTCCCTCTCCCCCTCCCCTCCCCCGCGCTCCTCCCCCCCCCTCCCGCTCCTCCCCTCCCCCTCCCCACCAGCTCCTCCCCCTCCCCCAGCTCCTCCCCATCCCCCCAGCTCCGCCCCCTCCCACCAGCTCCTCCCCCTACCCCAGCTCCTCCCCCTCCCCCCATTTCCTCCCCCTCACACCAGTTCCTCCCCATCCCCCCAGCTCCTCCCCCTCCACCAGCTCCTCCCTCTCCCCCCAGCTCCTCCCCCTCCCACCAGCTCCTCCCCCTCCTCCGGCTCCTCCCCCTCCCTCCCAGCTCCTCCCCATCCCCCCCCAGCTCCTCCCCCTCCCCCCAGCTCCTCCCCCTCTCCTGGCTCCTCCCCCTCCTCCCAGCTTCTCCTCCCCTTCCCCAGCTCCTCCCCCTCCCCGGCTCCTCCCCTCCCCCGGCTCGGCCCCGGGATCCGTTACTGTAAAGCGCTCTGAGACGCCGTCCGGCGTGGAGGGCGCTATATAAATCCAAGTTGTTGTTGTTGTAAGTGGATGAAATATGCTGCTCTGAAATGTGTATTGACATAACTGTTTACCTCGGTGCTCCCTGACCTGACTCCTGCTGAACGATCATCTTCCATAATTCTCAACAACATCTTCCATTCTCTTATTTCCTGCTTTGAGAGAACTATCACTCTGGTTGTTAAGTGCTTTGAGATATTTTATTTATTTTATAAATGCTGTAGTTGTTGAATATTAATAGTCACACTGAAAACGTGTCTGGTGTATGCTGCTAAGACAGCCACAGTCTGACATAAGTGAGGTCTAATTTTTAAAGATCACCGCTTTGCGATTGGAATAAAAGTACCAGCCGTCTGGGAGGATAAAGAATGTGGCTGCTAATTTGTGAGCACAAGTTCCTCAATACCGAGACTCTACTTGTTAGAGATATCAACTAACTGTACACAAGTTTGGCTTTATTTTATTCAGTTCAGGCAAACTTAAAATGGAAATTCTGAATTTCCAATTAAGCAATACAGAATGAACTATGAACTTATAGTGGATTTTATCAACACCTTTCTTTCAACAGAGGTGGTCACTGAAATCTACGTATTGCATCTCCTTTAGCCACTCGACCCCATCTCACAATATCTCCTATTGACTCTAATCCTTCCTTTTCCATGCAGTGACTCTCTCCTTTTTATGTACACACAAGATTATCCTTTAATTATTACCTGCCTCTGCTTATTACCAAGGAACGAGTTGCAAATTAGCAAGCATTGAATGAAAGGTACCTTTAAAGATTATCGTGTCTCCTAATCTCTTAACTCTGATACTAATCCTGGACAGAAAATGTCACACCACAAGCTTCCAAACCACAAAGAAAACAGCGGAACTATTTGTGTGTATGAAAAAAGGTTTAATAATTTCAAACAATCTTGATCTCAAATTAAGCTTCTGGACCTTTTATTATAACTGAAATGATTTGATAAAAACCCTGAGAAATATTAAAAATAATAAAAAGGTTTCAAACAAATGACAAACGCATAACCAAGCCGGCTTTACAGATGTGTACAATGTAAGTTTCTGTATTCACAGCAGCACACACACTCCAGACAAGACTTGGGACCATTATTTGCTCAGTAACATCGGTTTCTGGGAACAGTGACATAGAAAACAGTGTCTCCTGAAGACGAGCCAGTGAATGGGTAAATGCTCTAAATGGCCTTGGTTTGGCATTTGTTTTGTGCCTTCATCACCTGCTTTCAGGTTTTTAGTTTATTTTTGTTAAACAGGCTGGAGATCATGCTAGATTATTGTGTTTGTTATAAAGGACTCATCTGCCCCATTCACATGACAGTCCCTGATCAGGGTTAGAAATGGGATATGTATCTAATCAGCCACAACAGGAATCTGTACCTGTTGTGCGGTTGTGTGCTGAATGCTGGAGGGTGGTTGGGTGGGGGAGGGGTATGAATCCTCAATAATTCTGCAGTTGCAATACTCAGTATTTATTGTTGACCATTAATTGCAAGCTGAAGATCTTAGTTGCATTGTGAGCATCACTCCTAGCCTCGGGCAGCAGTCCCAGATGGGCTGAAAGGTCATTCTCACTGATAATTTGTTAGAGCGTTAACAGGGGTGGCCTGGTTGTGGCATTACAATTCCCTCTTCCATTATCTTACACCGGCCGTACATCACAGCTTGTCAAAACCCTCAGCAGTGCCAAGTTATGTTCCACGTGACACAGTGTCTGATGTTAGCATCCAAACCAACACTTTGGAGCAGATGATGATTGACAAAGTGGCCTTTTGACCATATGAGTTTGGGACAATTTGAATTATCAATTTGGAGTTGAGGTACAGATCAGCCATGATCCAGTAGAATAGTGGAACAGGCTCGAGGGGCTGAATGGTGTCCTCCTATTCCTATGGGAGAGTAAGGGCCATCAACAGTGAATGAAGTCAGCAACTTGTGTGATAATATGTGACTGTGGCCTGATTTAAAACTATAGAAAAATAATTTAATTCTACATTAGATTTGATCAGTGTATAAAGACTGTGGCTTACCATGGAGCGGGGGGGGGGGCAGAGAGGAATGGGAGGGGGTCAATTACTTTTGTTGTGGAGGAGCATTAATGCACACAACACAGCAACATGTGAATAGCAGAAAACTTTGGTAACTGAGAATGTGAATATATATTATATATAATCTATCTATACATATAAATCATATAAGTTAGAATGGATAAATATTTTCTCATTTTCATTTATTAAAGCATGCCCCAATGTTCTATATTTATTATTCACAGTATTTACATTAGTCTGTCTTGCGATTACCTTTTGTACTCACAGGACTTGGAGAGACACTGAAGCTCTGAATTACAGCCTGATGGAAATCACCTGTTCGGGGGTTTATGGTCCGCAGCGGGTCTGAGTGATGAAGGAATATTGATTTTGCTAAAGATTTTGTGTCACCACAAAGGTTTACAGCCCCTGGTCCCCTCCCCACATCTAACTACAGTTCTCTGTTGCTGATTTTCACCAGTCCAAGTCAGACAGATGCCTTTTCTATCCCAAATGAACCATAGCCTGAATTTGTATAGCACTCTTCACGCAGGATAGCGTCTTAGAGCGCTAGGAACCAGGGATTTACACATACACCTTCCCTATAAGGTGCAAGTGATTTACAGACAGCTGCAAGGAGGGGAAAGTGAGCAGGAAGTGCTTTTGGCACTGGCTCAGATATAAGCGTTGTTAACCTGGACCTCTTCACTGTAAAAATACTCATTTCCCTTTTTACATGTTGCTTCTTACAACCACCTTACGGCTGTAATTCAGAACTTCCACACATTATTGCATTATAAAAGCAGCTTTTTTTTAAAAGTCACAGCCCTTTACTGCAGAATACTTGTCTGCAGGATGTAGATGTAAAACCCAAACTACATCACCTCCATGCTGGGCTCCAGGTCCCGGTAGAAATTGCATCTGCACATATTTACACCCAGTGTTGCCGAGTCCAGGTGCACACCATGGCCGCCCAGTGAGGGAAGGGGAATGGGCTCTCTACTCCATGCCATTCCTGAGGATTTGATTGGCTGCAATCAACATGACGCTGATGATGAACGCCACCCCAAACGCACAGATCAAACTCTTCCTCACACACGTCTGTCGGTTCTGCTTCTGAGAGTGAACTGCAGAGAGGACAGGGGAGAGGACAGGGCAGAGGACGGGAGAGGACGGGAGAGGACAGGGGAGAGGACGGGAGAGGACGGGAGAGGACGGGAGAGGACAGGGGAGAGGACGGGAGAGGACGGGAGAGGACAGGGGAGAGGACGGGAGAGGACGGGAGAGGACAGGAGAGGACAGGGAAGAGGACAGGGGAGAGGATGGAAGAGGACAGGGCAGAGGACGGGAGAGGACAGGGAAGAGGATGAGAGAGGACGGGGAGAGGATGGGGAAGAGGACAGGGGAGAGGACGGGAGAGGACAGGGGAGAGGATGGGAGGGGACAGGGGAGAGGACGGGAGAGGACAGGGGAGAGGACGGGAGAGGACAGGGGAGAGGATGGGAGGGGACAGGGGAGAGGATGGGAGAGGACAGGGGAGAGGATGGGAGAGGACAGGGAAGAGGATGGGAGGGGACAGGGGAGAGGATGGGAGAGGACAGGGGAGAGGATGGGAGAGGACAGGGAAGAGGATGGGAGGGGACAGGGGAGAGGATGGGAGGGGACAGGGGAGAGGACGGGAGAGGACAGGGGAGAGGATGGGGAAGAGGACAGGGGAGAGGACGGGAGAGGACAGGGGAGAGGATGGGAGAGGACAGGGGAGAGGATGGGAGAGGACAGGGAAGAGGATGGGAGGGGACAGGGGAGAGGATGAGAGGGGACAGGGGAGAAGACAGGGGAGAGGATGAGAGGGGACAGGAGGACAGGGGAGAGGATGGGGAAGAGGACAAGGGAGAGGATGAGAGGGGACAGGGGAGAGAACAGGGGAGAGGATGGGGAAGAGGACAAGGGAGAGGATGGGAGAGGACAGGGGAGAGGATGAGAGGGGACAGGGGAGAGGACAGGCATCTGTAGGTCAGTTAGTGCGCTGCACGTGCTCAGCATGCAAACCCCCAGCTGAGCAGATCTACAGCGTGCAGCTAAAGCATCAATACTGCATCAACCCTTCACAGGTATTAAACTAAGAACTTTCATTTTTGCAGCAGCTTATGTCGAAACGTCTCAAAGTATTTCACACATGACTGTTGTCAGGTTTAGGCAAAAGTGGCAACCACAGTTAGGAGACGCAAATAGCCATAAAGTGAATGACTGGGGGATTGCTGGACAGAACATCAAGAGAAACTCCCTTCTTTTCTAACAATGTGGCAGAATCTTTAACATCCACTTGGTTAGACATTTTTTAAAAATCTCTCATCAATACTGTCAGAAACAGTGTCTGGATATCCTCTGGCGTTTAGAATCATAGAATCTTACAGCACAGCAGTGCCTGTGCCGGCTCTTTGAAAGAGCCACTGACTAGTCCCACTCCCCCGCTCTCACCCCATAGCCTAGTATTCCTGTAGCTAACATCTTCTAATAATTTTAATACAAACAAAGAGAAAAGAGAGTAGCATCTTCTCCTGAAAGTTTGTAATGCCGTGTTTTGCCCAGAACTGCTGATTGATGAGAGCAATGAAGGGAGAGTGGGGCGGCATCTGGCGAAGGCTGTACTCTCAGTGCCGGAGCGAGCAGGACAGTCTGATGTGGGAAAGGCTTGTGGCCAGAAAATGAAGTCAATTGTAACACCAGCTGCTCAACAACAGCAAGACAGCACAGAGCAGGCAGGGGCTGAACCGTGGATTTATTTAGTTTTGTTAAATCAAGACCAAACGAGAGCAGTGAAGGCTTTGATCTGAAATCAGAACCGATTCTTTTTGAGAAGAGTAACTGTGTCTCTACATCTGGTACTTTATCACAAAAAGATGGCTCCAGTGAATACAAATAACATTCTATTTCACTCCGACAGGAATTTCAATTCAGTCAGCCCATTAATATTAAAAAANGAATAGCCTTTCCCTCCCCTCTCCCCACCCCCCATTTTAAAATACAAACTTCAAAACTCAAAGAGACGGGTTTTATTTAGAGATTTGGAACATTTCCCACCTTTCGGGATGTATTAACAGCAGCGAGCAGTGGGGACGAGCTTCAGTTGGGTTCCCCCGTCTGGTGCAACAAATTTCTCATCATTAGTGTTCATTCATACTCACAGGAGCTGCATTATTCAAGCTCCTTTCACAGGGATGTTAAGCTTTAAACGCTTCCTGCGAAGATTTAGTTGAACAATGTTTCTTTTTGTGGGGAGGGAGGGGGGAGGTTAACATTGACTGGCGAGTGTCAGTCTGACCTGTGACTGCAATGAGCTGCAGTCTGTGTCGCTATGGAAACAGGTGATGGTTGAGCCCTGGTTAACCAGCTCCGTGAGGAGGTTATCTCAGTATTTCATGGACCTCGTTCCCCGCACAGACCTAACCCACAGCTGAGTCAGATTCAGCCTCTGCAGATGTGGTAATTGCAGAGAGACAAGGTTCACTACTGCCCTAATGCTACAGTTGGTTATTTATGTAAATTTATTATTGCACATACAATAAATCACTATCAGCCTATTCTGTGTACATCTGTAAGTAACGTGTTCATATAACTTGCTGAATGTTGACGCTTGTACAGACTATGGAACAACATAGAGTCAGGCTCTCACTGACTGTGTCCAGGGAACAAGACTTTATACAAAGTTCATTGAACTCTTCAGAATCAGATTGTTTGACATTGGTTTCTTACCAGACTGGCTTTTCGGGAGAAACAAACAGATCGACTGCTCAGCGCTCTCACCTTCAAACTCTGTCTGACAGCTGTTTGAGTTTTCATTCAGACTCTCCTCCTCATTTATAATAATATTCTCAATATCTTTCATCGTCAAGTGGTCCCGAAATGCGTGAAATAAGATGTGCTTCAGTTCCTCCAGTGTAATCCTCTGCATGTCAAACTGAGGAGAGATGAGAGGAAACCCATGACTGGAGCATAAAACCTTCTGTTATTTAATGGAGGATAAAGAGCAACCTTCCATCATCACACGTCCAAATTCTAGGGTCTAATTTGCAGTATTTGTTAACAGATTTCTTAACAACAAACGTGTAATTATCGAACTCCTAAATCTTCTGAATGTTTCTAAAAAAAACTGAATGTGCTGAAGAAAGTATTTAGTAAAGTGTTAGATGATAATAATCCTTGCATTTGATATAGCGCCTTATCACGTCTTCAAGATGTCTCAAAACACTTCACAGAATATACTGTAAAGTGAATTAACTGTATATCTTGTGTGTGAAACAAAATATACATAGAAATAATTATTTATCTAAGTACATTATCTATTAATTATCTCTCTCTCTCTTAAACATGTCAAATGATTCTACATCCATGGCCTGTTGGGGCAGTCATCTCCTCGCTGCCCTTTGTGTGAAAAAATGTTTGCCAGTCTCACTTCTAACATTTCAAATGATTTTAAGAATGATATTCCCCTGAGTTCAGGATGTGTGATTACTTTTGTAAATCTGGCTTCCTATTTTCTCACTCCCAGATCACATTGTTTAGTTCATTCAATGACAGGCTTTGCTTCACACCTACATCGTTCAGCTATATTACTTTCTCAAAAAAGCAATTGATATTTACAGTTACAATCCCCAGGTACTTTCAAACTTCACAAACCACACAGGGCAGAACTTGGAGGCTGCAATGTGTTAGGGTGTATATCAGTGGAAAAGTGAAATTAAAACCAGTTACAAGCACCGGCTGAAAGGACAAGCGTTCCCAGCAAAGTGAAGAACATGGTGGGAAAGAAAATACCATAAAAGGAGGCAGTAAACCTCATGTCATTGAATGTGCCCTGCAAGTCATTAGCATTTGGCTTGTCTTTCTGCGATGAAAACCAAGCTTGTTATAAAGAAATAACTTATAAAGAAAGATTATAATGGATCTATATTTATAGAGGATGTCTGCCCCCCTCCCCCTCAGCCCCACCATCAGCCACTTCTCCCCAAACCTCTGGAACTCTGTCTCAATCCTCTGCCTTGCCCCTCCTTGCCATCTTTAGATTGCAGCCGAAGACTTTCCTCTGCAACCATGTAATCTCTCCCCAGCTCAGCGTCAATCTAGAAATTCTACACCTTGCTCAGAGCGCCGAGGTTCTTCACCCGGCTATACAAATATAAGTTAGATGCTGTTCTCATGAGGGCAATCAACCCTAACGGCAGCTCACAAACAAACACACGTATTGAAATACTCTGAGAACTTAAGTTGATTGATAATGTGTGACACAACCTTCAGAAAGACCTTTACAAGATCCCACACTGGCAAATGTGAAAGCTTATGGTATCCAGAAATACAAATTGGATAGAAATTTGGTGGGAGTGCAGGAAATAGCAATACTTTCTAATTAGTAGCTTTGACAAGCTAGAGGGCAGTCCTACAGCCTTGCTGCTCACATCACTTGTTAATGACCTTGATGAAATTACAAGTAAAATCTAACTTTAGTGTTTATACCGAGTTGTGTAGAATGTCCCATAGCGAGCAAATACCAGTCAACAACACTCAAATTCTTATGTTATTATCTGGGGATACAGTATATAGCTCGGGACACGACATGTCAAGCGACTGCCAGGATGGTGTAACGTGAACTGGCCAGACCTTGGTCCTCTTTCTCCAAGCAAATGGTTATGTTCTCCAATGCTGCAGCTTATACAACTTTGGTCAATCGGTTACAATGCATCAGAATCACTGCTCTGATACACACCTGAAACATCATTACCAAAAAAAAAGCAGAGACAAGCTACTTCTACACACAGTTAGATCAAGAGCCAGGTAGGTTCTGGTAAAATGGTCTGAACAACCTCTAATTGCTGTAAAATTCCACGTGTGTGAAGTGTAAACATTGATAGCTTAGCTCCACCACATTCCTTTGTGCCCACATAAGAGGCAGCGGCTTGTGGAGAGAGGACAGAAAACAGGCATGTGGTGCGTTCCTGTCATCCTCATTCTGCAAACGTTGGCACCAACATAATAGGTATACAGCATTATACAAAGGGCATGTGTGGACAGTAACCTATATTCGGTGCGAGCCTGGCTCTGATCACTCGTGTAAACGTGTCGAACAGCAGGTTGCAGAATAAGTTCTCAGTAAGTAGGTCAGTAACAAGGGAGCATTTATCTTGGGCAAGTTTTCTTACTCCACACAGAGCCTAATAATAGTCCCTCCAAAAAGCAAAACAATAATAAATTGGTCATTTTCAATCTACGACTGTTTGTGGGACATTGCTGTGCGCAATTGGCTGCCGCGTTCGCCCACAAATATACAGTCAATTCACTTTATAGTATATTCTGTGACGCGCTTTGAGACATCTAGAAGACGTGAAAAGCGCTATATCAAATGCAAGGATTATTATTATTATTATTATCTTCCAGTTTTCTTCCTAGTCCTGAGGTTCTATCCCTGGCTGCATTAGAATAAAATAACAATCCTTGCGTTTGATACAGTGCCTTTTCCCGTTGGTGAGACCTTCCCAAAGCACTTCACAGGACACACTGTGGAGTGTAGTGACTAGGCATTTTGTGGGTGAAAGCAGCCAGCAATTTGCACACAATGACATCCCACGAACAGTCATGGAGTGAGCATCCAATTTTACTTGGGGAATTGATAGCCAGGACACCAGGAGAAACTCCCTTCTCTAAGTATGCAAAGAGGAGTGCTTAACACTAGAAATGTAGCAGAAAACTGGAGCCTGGAGCTTTTTTTTACTAGTTACAGTTCCAATAACTCACAGAGCTGAGTGTAAAGTGGTGTGGCTGCTCGTCTGCTCTCCTCTAATGTCTAATCCAAACTCCACTTCAAGGAGATGCAGGAAGTTGGCGAAACCCCTCTGGACGGAGATCAAAGGCACAAAGTAATGAGACGTATTAAAGCGCTCTGTTTATACTGTAATTTCTAAAAATATACACAAAATAACAAGCAACATTTTCTACCAGAACTGACATTAAGCTGATGGCTTTCCTCAGCGTTTTTTTTCCCTTTTGTTCAGATTTCTGGCAATCGTTTTGCAGGAAGCTTAGCAAATAGTGCTTTAGCTAGTTAACAGTGTTAGCTAGATAACGGCAGCAGTTACCCCCAAACGCACACTCTGGGGTCCCTGAGCCTTCTAGCCTGAACTGCTGAGATCAGTAACTGAGCTGGGAGAGGGGTGGACAGTGGTGTGTTGAGGTGATGTGTCTGCCACATTAATGTCTGAGCTAATGCACATTATTACCAAAAGCAAATTATTTGTGAAAAAAATCTTTCACAAATAATTGACGGTGTTATACAGGACATTTCCACTCTAGTGGTTAGTGAATTATGAGGCATTAAAATGAGCCTTTCAGCTGAAGAGAAGCATGATGACATTTGCCAATATGAAAATGGGGTCATTACCTGCTTCAAAACTATAAAAAGTACCTAAAATGGCCGAACTATTAAATACAACAGGAACCCGAGAAACATTGGGGTGAGACTCTTTTAGAACATTGATCCCTTTATCGGGTGTTTCTCAAACAGTCTCAGTAAAGCCCGCAAAGCAGAATTTGAGGGCAAGAAAGTAAAAGGCTTTGGAAAAAGAGCAGGGAATTGGGATTACAGTAACTCCAGTGGGAGATTAGTTATTGAGACTTTCACCGAGTTTGTTCTCCCTTTATCATGAAACTCACTCGCTGCTGCATCCGGTTACAACGTAACTTCACTTAATTATTATTAATATCATCCTGTTCCGCACTTTGAGATGTTTCTTTTATGCAAAAAGCAATGCAGATTCTTGCCTTTGCCGGTTACCCAGTTTCACCTCTCAAATGTGTGACAGGATAACGGGCTGATCAATAACCACAATCATTGCGTCTATTAATTTGCTCTGGTAAATTATTCCAAACATTCTTCCAATAAAAAAGTTCCCCCCCACATTGCTGGTCTATACCATAAATCTACTTTCCACTTTCATCTCACCCCATGCATTGCTCACACTCGTCTCACTGTCTTTTTTGAACCCGTTTTTGCTTCAAGGGCTTTTCTGGCTAATTAATTCTCCAAATATGTTAATTTTGTAAAGTAACAATTTGCTCTTTGACCGAATGTGTTTGGAGTATTTTTGATGGTGATGCGACTGTATTACTCAGAGGTCAATTGTTTTACAGTTATCTCCTTTAATACTCACGTTGATTTGAGCAGCTACTTCATCACTTTTAAGAGCGTTTAATCCTTTTATAATCACGGCATTCTCTGGCTCTTGCCTTTTTTGCTTTTCCTGGAACTTTGAGTTTAGACCATAAGAAATGTTGGCACAGAAAAACAACATTAACCTAACTATCCCTCCATCCCTCAGTCTATCTTTCAGCTCCCCACTTCCTCATTTTCAAAACAAACAAACAAACATTTTTTTAAATTACTCAGAGCCTTTCACTTTGGAAAGCAAGGTGCCAAGGCGTTGGACAGTAAATGCTTTGCTCCTGAGCTGGGGGTTGGAATATGAGGGGTGGGGATAGGGAGTAGCCAAAGGCACGGTCAAAGAGGAAGGTCTTGAGAGGAGCATTGAAGGAGGCAAGGGCGAGGCAGAGGGGCTCTGGGTTGGAATTCCAGAGGGTGGGGGCTGAAGGCCCAACCGCCAATGATAGGGTGGGCAGGGCGGGGGTCATGGAGCAGGCCCACCAAGCAGAGGGAATCCATATGGTGTTAAGAGGTCGCAGAGGTAGGAAGGAGCACAGCCGTGAAGGGCTTTAAATGTGAGGGATGGGGAGTCAGTGGAGTTGGGCAAGGATGGGGGTGATCGGTTCACAGAGAGAGAGAACATTGGCATATTCCTAAAAAATCACAAGCTTATAATAAAGAGTGTCTGTCATCTGCTTCCAAACATTCGACTCGGAACTGTCTAAACAAATAGGTCTGTGGCTCACTCGTCTGGTACATGTACTTCTCAA